TAGCCAACAAAATCCTGAGAAGGAAGAATAAAGTGGTGGGGGGATCTCTCTCCCCCACTTCAAGCTCTACTACAAAGCCACAGTAATCAAGACAATTTGGTACTGGCACAAGAACAGAGCCACAGACCAGTGGAACAGAATAGAGACTCCAGACATTAACCCAAACATATATGGCCAATTAATATATGATAAAGGAGCCATGGACATACACTAGTTAAAGGACAGTCTCTTTAACAGATGGTGCTGGCAATACTGGACGGCTACATGTAAGAGAATGAAATTGGATCATTGTCTAACCCCATACACAAAAGTAAACTCCAAATGGATCAAAGACTTGAATGTAAATCATGAAACCATAAAACTCTTAGAAAAATACATAGGCATAAATCTCATGGACATAAACATGAGTGACTTCTTCATGAAGATATCTCCCTGGGCAAGGGACACAAAGGCAAAAATGAACAAGTGGCACTATATCAAGCTTAAAAGCTTCTGTACAGCAAATCACACCATCAATAGAACAAAAAGGTATCCTACAGGATGGGAGAATATATTCATAAAGGACAGATCCGATAAAGGATTGACATCCAAAATATATAAAGAGCTCACACACCTCAACAAACAAAAAGCAAATAATCCAATTAAAATATGGGCAGAGGAGATGAATAGACAGTTGTCTAAAGAAGAAATCCAGATTGCCAACAGGCACATGAAAAGATGCTCCACGTCGCTAGTCATCAGAGAAATGCAAATTAAAACCACAATGAGATATCACCTCACACCAGTAAGGATCGCCATTATCGAAAAGACAAACAGCAAATGTTGGCGAGGTTGTGGAGAAAGGAGAACCCTCCTACACTGCTGGTGGGAATGTAAACTAGTTCAACCATTGGGGAAAGCTGTATGGAGGTTCCTCAGAATGCTCAAAATAGAAATACCATTTAACCCAGGAATTCCACTTCTAGGAATTTACCCTAAGAATGCAGCACTCCAGTTTAAAAAGACAGATGCACCCCTATGTTTATCGCTGCACTTTTTACAATAGCCAAGGTATGGAAGCAACCTAAATGTCCATCAGTAGATGAATGGATAAAGACGTTGTGGTACATATACACAATGGAGTATTACTCAGCCATAAGAGAAAAACCGGTCCTACCATTCGCAACAACATGGATGGAGCTAGAGGGTATTATGCTCAGTGAAATAAGCCAGGCAAAGACAAGTACCAAATGATTTCACTCATATGTGGAGTATAAGAACAAAGGAAAACTGAAGGAACAAAACAGCAGCAGAATCGCAGAACCCAAGAATGGACCAATATAATATTGTATATCAACTAGACTGCAATTAAAAAATAAATAAAAAAATGAAAGCAAATGGGTTTCCTGTCTGATACAGTCTCTGATCAGTTGGTTGGGGGCTGCCATGGAGCACTTGCTGCATTAGGGCTTGTTGGGGAAGAGGGTCATAAGTGATTACTGATGTCTGCTTTTTTTTAACTAAAATTTTTTTGATTTATTTTTTAATTGCAGTCTAGTTGATATACAATATTATATTTTAAAAAAGCTCATTTCTTAACTAAAAATTTTTTGATTTATTTTTTAATTGCAGTCTAGTTGATATACAATATTATATTGGTTTCAAGTATACATCATAGTAATTCAACAGTTACTTACATGTTAAATTTTCAAATGTCACCTCTTCTAACTTCCTCTGATCTTAGATGTCTATCAGGACAGCATCTATCCCATTCTGAATAGTTCTAGAGGTAAATGGAAAGGCAGGCAGGCTCCATTTTCACTGTTCTAGTCCCCCCCCTTTTACCAAACCATAGTTTAACCAGAAACATTAATTAGGTACTAACATTAATTAACTAGGTACAGCACCAAGCAGTTTTCATTTATTCTCTCATTTACTGCTTCCCACAGCCTGAGTCAATGAGGACTATTTTTTGTAACTGTTGCCCTTACTAGAATGTCAGCTCCACAAGGTCAGGGATTTCTGTCTGTTGTGTTCATTGCCATACCCAAGCACCTAGAACAGTGCCTGGCTAGTATGCACTCAATAAATATTTGTGAATAATGGGTGACATTTTCTAGGTGAGGAAACTAAGGCTTAACTTTACTGCCTTGGATAACTTAAATGATTTGCCCAAGCTCACAGGGTTAATATGTTGTGGAATCAAGAGTTAAACTCAAGTACACTGGTCTGAGACCCGTGCTATTCCCCATTACTTGAGAAGTGAGGAACTATTGTAGCTCTTATAATCACAGTATTCATTAATTTGACTATTAATTAAAGCTATTTTCCTTAAGACTAGTTAGTGACATGGATTTGGTAATTTATTTACCTGCCTTTCAGATTCCAGGGCCCATGGTCTTAAGCTGCAGGCAGTTCCTTTCCCTTGACATTCTCTGTGTCAGTGCTGTTAGGTTTACTAGGCCTTAGATTCTGTCTGGGGGCATTTCACTACCTGCTCCTTCTAGTCCTTGGGAAAGCCCATTTCCGGTGATGCATCTCCTCATCCTTGGATTCTTGCAAGGAGAAAAGATGGCAAAGGCACCTTCTAATTTTCAGTCTGGCCCCCTCCTTGCCATGTGACCCTTTTTGATGTCTTCAGTTCCACAGCTGGGAAGAGGGCAGAAGAAATGGCTTTGTATCCAGATTTAGAAACATAGGATATAAAAAATATTACTTTTGTATACTAAGTGACAGCTTAGGAGCAAAAAACCCCTCAATAGCCTACATTTCAAAGGAAAGTCCAAGGAAGATTAAAATGAAAATTAGAATGGGGTGGGCTTGGCAGATCCCACACTGAATTCCTCTGTGCTCTTTGCTACTTAGGTTTCAGATGATAAGCACCTTGACATCAAGGTCACCACATATTTTTGTTTCCTGTATAAATCGGGTTTTGACCCATGTATCTGGCCTTGTTGCTCTCTGAGCCTCCCCCATCCTACTTCTAAGCAGCTGCTGCTAGGTGCAGGCACTCATCTAATCTCTGTCTGTCCCTGCTTTCCTATCAGCTCCCTGGAAGGTGCTTGCTAAGGAGGTTGGTGAGTGCTAAGCGGCTGATATGCCTAGTCTATTAGCTGATCCAATTTAGAAGATTTGTTTAAAACCAAAGAGGGCTGCTTTTTATGCTGCAATATATAGCAGTGCACAGAGAAAGCAGAGCAGCAAACTTCAAGGTTTCTCAAATTACTCAACCGGTATTTATTGGGTATCTTCTCTGAGCCAGACACGTAGAATACCATGATGAGGAAGATCCAGATCTTGCCTTAACACAGTTATACTGTATTTGTGAGGCAGTTGTGGGGACACTGATAATGGAGATAACTCTAAACTATACATTTCTGAGACAGGATAGACTATGGTAAGTGCTTTTGGAGAGGTATCACACAGTCCAAGGGAAGGTGGTCACATGTGATGCCGGGGCTATGTGGAAGGTATGGACTTTCAGCTAAAATCTAAATAGGTGAGTGTAACAGGAGGGCATTATGGAGAGAGGATTGGCATAGGGAAGGCTCAAAAATAGGAAAGCAGGTGCTTCTAAGGAAAGGTACAACTGGTAGAATGATGCTTGAAAACAGTGAGACTCTTGTATGCCAGGAAAGATGGACCCAAGGGAGGTGAATGTGGGTGGTGAAATGGGATGCAGGGAGAGCAGCTGGGAGGCTACTGCACCAGTCCAGGTGAGAAACAATGAAGGCCTCCAGTCAGGAAAAAGGACAAGCAGGGCAAGACATAATTAAGATACCATAAAGCTAGAATCTGCAAGACTTGGCAAATGATTACACAGGGAGGGGAAGAGAAGGAGAGCAGTTAGAGAAGACTCTGAGGTTGCATAGCTACATGACTTGGAGCATCGCAAACCTAACAACCAAAATCACCCAGGAGATCCTTGTTTAGGTGATATCCCAGTGGTGTTAGCAGAGAAATCAATTTGATCCAATTGGAGAGGCCTAAGGGACATGTACATGGATTAGACCAGTAGGCAGCTGATATACAAGTCCGAATATTAATAGATAAGAGTAGTACTGATGGTCTTTGGGAGCATCATCAGACGATGGACACCATGGGTTGAATTGTGTTCCCCTAAAATTCATATGTTGAAGTCTTAAACCCCAGAGCCTAAGAATGTGACCTTATTTGAAAATAGGGTCATTGTAGATGTAATTAGTTAAGATTAGGTCATACTAGTGTATGGTGAGCACCTAATCCATTATGACTGATGTCCTAATAAAAAGGGGAAGTTTGGATATAGACACACATGCAAGGAGAACACCATGTGAAGATGAAGGCAGAGATTCGGGTAATTCAGTAAAAGCAAAGAGAGGTTAAAGATTTCTGGCAAACTACCAGAATCTAGGAAAAAGGCATGGAACAGATTCTCCCTCATAGCCCTCAGAAGGAAGAAACCCTGCTGACTCCTTGACTTTGGACTTCCAGGCTCCAGAAATATGAAATAAACTTCTGTTGTTTAAGCCACCCAGTTGTGATACTTTTTTATGGCAGCCCTGGCAAACTAGGAAACTAGTAGTTGAAGTCCTAGGAATGGCTGGGAATGACCAAAGAGAACATTTTGACTGAGAAGCCAACCCACAGTGGAAGGCTTAGGAATCCCTATAGGTAATGGCTGGAAAAAGTAAGAAAAGCCAGCAAAGGAATCTGCAATAGAGCACTCTGAGAGGTAGGAGGAAAACAAGAGAGTAGCTCTCAATGAAATTGTTTGATTTCAATTAAATCTCTTGAAGAGTTTATTAGTTGTCCAGGAAACAAAATAATGAGCTAGGAAATGCTGAAGAAGGAGCAGGTTGGGGATAAGGAGTGGGGATGTTCAGGGTCAAGGAAAACAAGATCTCCTTGCCAAGGTCTGACTTCAAAAAAATGCTAACGTCAGTAAGGTTTAACTTCAGGGGCCTTGCATCAACTCTCTAGGGCCTTTGCCCAACCAGCTGCTGAGAAGTTCTCAAATGCCCCTGCCCCATTTTAAATGGAAGCTCAAAAAGCAAACATGTTAATTTTTTTTGAGAGGCCATCTCTCATATTTATTGATCAAATGGTTGTTAACAACAATAAAATTCTGTATAGGGAACTCAATGCACAATCACTCATCAACCCCAAGCCTAATTCTTAACAGTCTCCAATCTTCTGAAGCATAATGAACAAGTTCTTACATGGTGAACAAGTTCTTACATAGTGAATAAGTTCTTACATGGTGAACAGTGCAGGGGCAGTCATATCACAGAAACTTTTGGTTTTGATCATGCATCATGAACTATAAACAATCAAGTCAGATATGATTATTCATTTGATTTTTATACTTGATTTATATGTGAATCCCACATTTCTCCCTTATTTTTTATTTTTTAAAATTTTTAAAAATAAAATGCTGAATTGGTAGGTAGATGCAAGATAAAGGTAGAAAACATAATTTAGTGCTGTAAGAGGGCAAATGTAGATGATCAGGTCTGTGCCTATAGACTAAGTATTAATCCAAGCTAGGCAAGGGCAACAAAACATCCATGGATGCAGAATATTTCTCTCAAAACAGGGGGGGTGAGGTTCTAAGTCTCACCTCTGTTGATCCCCAATTTCTCACCTGATGGCCCCCCTGCGACTGTGCCTGTCTTAGGTTGTTCCTCCCTTGTGGAATCTTACCCGTCTCTGGCTAACCAGCCATCTTCCAGGGCCACACAAACATGTTAATTTTAAGATTATGGAACTCAGCAACAACAGGTGTTGGGTATCCACAATGTGTCAAGTGCTTTATCACATTGAATTTTCATAACCATCTTATTTCCTTATTTCACAGATAAGGAAACTGAGGTTCTGAGAAGAGAAATGACCTGCCTAATGTTACAAAGCTTGTTCATGGCAGAAGTGGAAGGAGAACCCAGGCCTTTCTGATTCTAAAGCCCTGCCTTTTCTCTCACTTCAAAGAAAGAAAATGGATTTCCTATCTGATACAGTCTCTGATCAGTTGGTTGGGGGCTGCCTGGAGCACTTGCTGAAGATCAGAAGGCTGCATTAGGGCTTGTTGGGAAAGAGGGTCATAACTGATTACTGATGTCTGCTTTTGGGCATAGACTGAGCAGGAGTGACATATTTACCATTCCTGTACTATAATGACCCTTGAACAAGAGAGATGAGACAAGTGAGTCATTTTCCATGCATTATGTATAGCTAGGTCTTGTCATTCCTGGTACAGTCACTTTGCCTCTGGGAGAATTAGATAGAGGAAATTAGTGCATAATTTCCAGAACATCCCATGGGTGAACACACTCACCAACATGCAACCTGAAATTGCTTTTCAAGTAGAGAGCCATCACCTCCCCTCTCCTCATGGAAGGCCTGATGGATATAATGCAAAGAATCACCATCCAGAAAACAGACTGATGGCTGGGAAATTCGAATGATGAAAGGAGGGCCTATGCCTGTCTGTTTGTGTGTGTGTGCATGTGTGTATGCATGCATGTGATTCAGGTGTTCAAGTCAGCCAGTCCTTGGGAATTAAATGGAATTAAGCTAAAACCAGAAATAGTCAAATTGATAATCACCACCCTGTATTCAATCATATCTGACCATGTGCAGGGCTGTAACAGACAGTCCCCTACAAGGGGTGATATATGGGACCAATTCCCCTAAATTTCACCCACACCACCACCAGCAACCTGTTACAGTACTCAAAATTCCACCATTAGAATCTCTTCAAAGGACAGTTACTATCTATAAATGACCCCAGGGAATGAAAATGTATGCCTGAGAGTAGAAAACCCTATCCTGATGCCTAAGATATGGCTCTTTAGAAAAATTGCAAAATATGTTTGTCTCCTTATTCTCCCCATTCTGCTGCTGATCCACTTAAGGAGTGGTCTCTCTGAGGAAGTGTTTACATTTTCTTAGGGTGGTAAAGACCTAAAAAGTGCCTTCAAGGCTCCCCAAAGGAAGGTCTAATGGTTGATTATAAGAATAAGTGAAATGCAGGGGGTTGGAAGGAAGGCTCTTTGAGCCCAGTAATTTAGCAAAAGGAACAGGACTGAGCAAGTCTGTTCTAGTTCTGGCTAAGCAACAAACTCATCCTGTGACTTCAGAGAGGTCCCTTAACTCTATGCGCCTGTAAACTGGCTAAGAATACCCACCCTGCCCTTCTCACTGAGGCTGCTTGGTGCACTTGGAAAAACAGGAAATTGGATGGTGGTAAGGGTTATATTCATCAAGCTTTGGGAGGGTTGATAAGTTTCTGTTCAGGCTGATAAGTTCTGTGAGAATAATCAAGCAGTCCAAGATTGCTGTATCAACCTCCCTCCCAGGAATGTTTTTACCTTTTGCCTGTCTCCCCTTTCTCCTGCTCTCCTTTGCCCTCTCTTTCCCACCTCTCTTCTCCCCTCCTCTCCTGTCTTCTCTCTCTCTCATATGCATTTCCCCTGCCAACCTGGCATGGTACCATATATACTCTTTGCTGTTCACTGAGAGCCTGTCTTCTATGCCCTGACTTCTACTTTCTTCCCAGTTCCAACATCCCTTGACCATTTTCCTTTTTCCCTTTTTCATTCCTCATCTGCAGTTTCAGCTTGTGTGGATATAGGCGAGTTGTAACTTACAATGATTTTCTAGGTCATACC